CCAAAATTGCCCACTGCCCTTGAGTCTCTTCTCATACTCTGACCACATACAGACCAGAACTGCCACTGTGGGTGTCTGAGCTTGCAAATCTCTGTGGGAGGTTTCTCCTCGCACAGGGCCGCTGGTGGATTCGAACTGCTGGCCTTGTGGTTCTCAGCCCAACTGGTGACTCACTCTGCCACCAGGGCTCCTTGTGGGAAGGGATAGTGATGACTCAATAAAGGGATGTGAGAGGATCGGATGGGATGTAGTCGGGTGCTTAGGAAACGTCAAGGAAAGTGGGGGAGGAAGTGGTGGGCAAGAGATGGTGGCCAGATATGCAGACCACTACACAGAGGCCTGGGTAGAAGGGCCCATCTACAGATGGGCTTCTGGATGAAAGGAGTGGAGATGACAGCGGGGGTGGCTGGAAAATGAATGCCCCCATCTGGCAGATGAGAAGACTTACATAGGGTTAAGGAGACAGGAAGGTGTGTGGCTGGCCTTGCCCATGGCCCCTGGTCCCTCTCCACCTCTCTCCACTCCCTCGCCCCGCTTCCCGTTGGGTGGGAGAGAGTTGCGGAAAGGCAGCCTTGTGCTCCGCCTCCATGCTCCTCCAGGTCAGTTTCCTTCCTCTGGGCTTTGGCCCTGGGGGTGCAGGGAGGTGGCCACCCCCGCGGGGACTATTTCAGGCACCAACAGGCCCTCCAGGAAACAGAGGAAGCTGCCGTCCAGGCAGAGGGTTCCCGTCGAGTAGGAGGTCAGGGGAGCGGGGACCCACATCTTGTCCTCACCTGTTCCCAGGGCCCTGGGGAGCACCCTGTGCTGCGAGGACAGGACGCTGCATGTAAGTGTCCGTGTGTCGGAGGCTATGGGTTCTGTGGGAGGAGGGGCTTGAAAACCAGCAGGACACCAGGGACTGTGACTTTGGGCTGACAGCATTGACCTAGAGGGGACAGACAGAATCAGGGGGCCTAGAGGCAGCATAATGGGCTAAGCAGTGAGCTGCTCCCCAAAAGTCTGGAACTGGCCAGCAGTTCTATGGGGGGGAAGGATAAGCTGTCTGCTCCGTAGAGACTGAGCACCTCAGGAAGCCGAGGAGGTCTGCCCGATCTTTTGGAGTTCCTGAGAGTAGAGTAAGGGGGAGGGGGAGGAGAGCCACAGAACTTGGGAGGTCAGAGGAAGGACCTTCATCCAGCTGGGGATCAAAAATGTTCAGAAGCCACTTGGGATGTGGGCCTCGATGGATGGTTCAGGTGTTGACAAACGGAGATGTGTTGGGTACCACCTGGCATGAAGGGAGCGGCAAAGGTGGGGGCCCAGAGGAGGGAACCTGAAAGGCTGTGTGACAGTCTGGGTGTCTTGCGGGCAGGGTGAGGGGAGAGGAGAGGCAGGGGTGAGGGGAGTGGGGAGCGGTGCTGGGTGCTTTAAATGAGGTGGCAGGGCTTGACAGAGCCTTGAACGTCTGAACGTCAGGAGAGGGGTTCAGGTTTTTCTCCAAAGAGCAGGCTCTGCAGAGAGGAGCACAGCTTCACCTGGTGGGAAGCCAGGAAGAGGCTGGGGTGGGAGCCGTTCCAGGCCTTAGGGTCTAAGAGCAGGTGACACATGTGCCAGGCTGAGGGAAGCCTGTCAGCGCGGCTGCCTGAGGCTGGGGCCAGGCCAGTCCCTGCCAGGAACTGGGAGGATAGCTCACCCCTCCTAGGCCCGCAAAAGGCAGACCTGGTGGAGGGGCAGGGCTCCTGAGATGCCCTACCTCCTTGTAAGAGAGTGAAGGACAGAAAACAGCTGGAACATCAGGGTGCCTAAGGCAGGCGGCTCTCCCAGGAGGGGAGGTCTGAGGAGGCCAGGCAACCGGCCCAGCACCCTTCCTCACCCCTTCCCTCCTCCTCACCATAGCTTTCAGCACAGGCAGACTGGCCTCCTCTCCACCTTCCTCCCCACCCCTCGCTGCCAGCTGCCATGGAAATCCTCCTCAGCCCCATGCCCTGCTTCAGCCTTCAGCCTCCTCTGATGAGTCCCCTCTGTTCTCCTGCCTGCTCTGGTCTCCCCTGATACTGGCATCTCCATCTCCATCATCTCTATCATCTCCATCATCCCTATCATCTCCATCTCTATCATCTCCATCATCTCTATCATCTCCATCTCCATCATCTC